TTTAACTTTATACGAAACACCCTAACCCTAATATTAATGAACTTTAAAAATTTTAAAAAATTTTACATGATCGGCAACATACCACAGATTTCAGAAATGCGATCGGCATAATTAATGTCGTCATCATTTGTAATCTACGTATGTAGTTCTTCAATGTGTGCCAGGTTTGTGGCGCAGATTGCCTGTGCTACGAATCAGATTTTAAAATCAGGGCATTACTTGAACGTGTGCCAGGTTTATGGCGCAGCACAAATTCTTTAAAGTTCGCTCAATTTAGTGCTAGGGTTAATGTTATGTGCTAGAGAAGGGTAGTTTGCATAGTAAAATTGCCCAACGAAAACCTTTTTGTTAGAGCATCAAAAGTGGGTTCTTATGTAGAATTACGAGAGTAAGCGAAACTAACATCTGTTTTGAATTTTCTTGAATTGCAACTGATCTTGAAATCTGATTCGTAGTTCAGTAAATCTGAGCCACAAACCTGGCACACATTCAAGGGGGTGCAAAAGCAGGTGTAACGGGAAAATTCAACGGCACGTTTCGTCAAAAATCACTTTTTTCTCGAAAAATTGCATATATAACTACTTTTCGTACACTAATAAAAAATTTTCCTTGAGCAATTTTACTATATACCTCTCTAATTTCTAGTATTAATAAGAGTCTTGACCCTAACATAAACGATTTTCAAAGAATTTTGACTGCGCCACAAACCTGGCACACATTGAAGTATTGCGTAATTTATAACAATAAATGGAATAAATGGTAACCGCCATCAATGAATACGCACTGGTGTGGTTTTCTAAAATCGGAATTCATGAAATAAAAATAGTTTAATGCATGTAATTGGGTGATTATATACCATAATTACGTTATATTTCTAAGTTTTGTTTGTTTATCAATCAATAACTTTCGAATAGTTCGAATTTACATACATGATCGTACTGGTCCTGCGTGGCGTCATGTGTGTCGTGCAGCTATCCTAATACTAATGTGATATTGGATGATCGCCGGTAAAATTGAATAGTATGTATTTTATTGGTCAATCACTTTTCTCAACTATGTATTGCTTATGAAACTGTTTATGAACTGCATAATATTTATAAATTATTACATTTCAAGATTGTATTTGATTTGTTATTACATTTCTTAGCTATAAATTGTTTATGAAACCATACATGAAGCTGCATAATACTTATAAATCATTGATCAATCACTATATATTTTTTAAGTATTTTTAATTATTTGAAATTAATAATCGTTATGACAATATAAGAACTTAAAGATAATTATCTTTTGATCAATACGATACGTCATATTGGTAATGTAACGAATTAAATTTTTATCTTATTGTAAATAGAATCTTTATTTTCTCAGTAAAACATCCGTATGTATCTTACATCTTAATAATTAAAACACAAACGTCTGCAAAAACAATGTGGCTTTGCCCAAATCATTGTACAACCCGGTCGAACATAAATTGTACAACCCGGTGAACAAACCCGGTCGAACATAATTTTCTCGTGATATTACAGAATTGACGCCACTATGATCGAGCTGTGGAAATTCTATTACACCTTGTGTGCTTGTCGGCTGAATTACAGTAAACAATCGTGTGAATTAAGCTGAAGAATGGAAATAGAATGTAATGCTTAGCGGCTATAACTCCTTATGGAATAATAGAACGAAACTTTCGTCATCATAAAGCCTCATCCATATTATAGAATAATGTACTGTTGATTAAAGCCTTTTTCTTTAAATAAAATTGAGCATTTTAATAAGCTTGGGCTGTAAGTAAAGAAAGCTAAGTAGTCAAAGCCCCCCTTACCTCTTAAAATAGTGAAAGCTATAAAAACATTGTAATTTTGCTTTTGTAAAGAACAAGAACCTTTAAGTTAAATAACTCATTTACTAAGCAAAGACTATAAAATCCCTAAAAGTCATAAATTAGATACTGCTACTAAATAATCGTGTCACCCTTCCATGAATTGTCATCATAACAGCATCCTTTGCGGTTAAGGTTAAGCGCATATTACTATAATCTACTGTTGTTAGTCGAAACTATTTTTAGCAAATAGCGAAAGACGAAACTAAACCCGGCGAAAGACAAACTGGAGAAACAGCGAAACTTTGGCGAAATAGCGAAACCCCTGGAGAAGTCAAAAATCAAATCCTATAAAACTTTGAAAAGAATAAGCCATGTTAATGAACCAAAATATTTTGCGCGTGGCTAATAAGCATATCATGGTGGCTAATATAAAAAAATGTACAAAAACAATAAGCGAAGTGATAGCTTTTTGTTTGTATTTGAATAATAAAATAAAATTAGATTTCAGGCTTTTGAACTTATAGTTAAGGAACTGTGCAAATCCACAGTCTTAATTTGAAATATGCTAAATCCACATAACGATAACTTATACTCTCTTAATATGAATTCTAACCCTAAATTGGAACTCAACTCTAAACAAATAAATTTAGCACCATTCCGACAATAATATGTTAAATAAATCTGTAAACAAGATCAATACGTGAGATGTGGAATCTGTACAAGTAATCTTTTTTGGGATACCATATACATATTGCTTTCTCCTTCAACATCCATAAGTTTCTCATAATCTATATACGTATTCAAACTCTTCGGATTTTATGGAATTTCCTTTTGCTTGCGAATATCATTTAAAATTCCATCCTCACATTTTCGGTTTTTGCTTTCATTTACACAGCTTGTACACTCAAACATGATTTATTATTAATTTGAGACGCAATATTTGATTTCATGATTCGATAATATACTGATAATTTCACATAAACAGACTTGTGAAGCAGAATTTGGGATCTGTCGCAGCAGAAAATTGTGGTCAATAATAGCTCCAAAATGAGGGCCAGCTAAAGCCGTGTCCAGTTAGAAGTTACTTTTTTTTTGATGTACTTAGGGTTAGTGGCTTATAAAAATATCAACGGTCGGTCAAAACAGAGAGAGGTTTAGGGTTACCTTTTTTTTGATGCAGTCATATATAATGGGCTATATAGATATCAAGAATGCAATTTATACAGTATGTAGATCATATACTTTAACTCCCAAAATAGAAATTTTTTACTCTGATCTGCGTGATTGTGAGACCTTGAGATCTTTAAAATCTATGATGCGTAATTAGTTTTCAAATTTCGCGTTCTTGCATTTTAAAATTTTCACCAGCCCAACAAGGTTTAATAGTTGAAATATTAATGACATTGAATCGTTTCCAAGAACCAAGAACTTTTTAATTAAACGCACTACAAATGTGGATGTTTTACATGACTATTTCTAAATTTTTTTTGAAGAGAAAATAATATATTAAATGAAGGTAAAAAGCATATTATTTATATTGTAATGTTTTTTAAGTATATGATGACAAAAGAAATCTTAACATTAATGAGTTTCAAAAAAGACGTTGTTTAATATAGAAATTTAGAACCTCAAGTATAATACATAGAAAGACATCCAATTTTCTTCTAAAGTACTCGAGCAGAGATAAAGTTTTCTAATATTGTAACATGTTCTGCAGAATTATCTCAGGTCTTCATTAAGCACGATACTAATTAAGATTCAGGCAAAGATTAAGTCTCCACTTGGTGTGTTGCTGGAAGTACTCGTGTGGAGATTCAAGTCTTTCAAGAATTGCAGATTATAAAAACATGTTGTGTTAGGAAGATTTGATTTTCCACTTAGCATGATACTTCGGCAAAAATTATAGCAAGTCTTTCACTATTATAAAAATATAATACTGGGTATAAATGCACGTAGAGGTTCAATTTGGGCCTTTATATATACTTTTATAAAAGATTTTTGACTGAATGATGATTTTAATGCTAACATCGATTTTGTTTATTAAGACTCGTATTCTGAAACGTTTGTGGAATTAGATATTGTCAGTGACTTGTGAGAATTGTGGTAGAGAATGACACTTACAAGGTTATTCAGCTCTGTTAATCCATCACGTGAACTTAAAGAATCGCTTGATCATTATCACAGTCCTTAAGATCACCACTTCATTATCACCCTTAAACAGCATTACCTGTAGTTGCAGCCACTCCTCATCATCCCTATTAATATTAAAGTATCTGTTATAGCATCTTATTGCCCAATTAGTTCTCTAATAAATATAAAAGACCACTTTCACTTCTTCAAGTTTACATTCATTTTCCATACACTGTTGAAGTTAGATTATCTATATTAGGGATGGCCACGGTCAGTCATTTTCGGCTAGCCGTTTTGTAGCCGTTAGCTGTGTCTCGCGATCCAGTGGTTCAAATAGGATTGTTTTAGTACTATTCGAATCGTCTCATTAAGACGATTCGAATGGTACTAAAATAATCCTATTTGGATCACTGGATCACGAGATAGCCACGGCTAGCCGCAGCTTAGCCAATCGGCTAAGCCAAAAATGACCGACCATTGCCATCTCTAATCTATATTATTACATTAGCTCTCCCATCAACGGTTACAATAATCAATGGTTTTTAATTTTTTATATTTCATATTCACTAAAATTTTTATTTTAGAATAATATAAATTCATGGCCATATATTGGAGATTTGCCACTTATGTTAATTCCGTCACATTCATCCTTATCGATGTTATCAACACAAACCGAATCAGCTGAACAATTAATGCCATTATCCATAATTCAAAATCAGCAATTTTATGAAAGATCAACCTATGACTTATACAATCTATCAGTTTGAAAAAAGAAAAAATGAAGTTTCAGTAGTGATCAGGATGATGATAAGAAAACGCAAATAAAAAGAAAATTAAATGGTAAAGAAAAACTGGAATTCACCTTAGTATTTAGAGAGTACTATAATACTTCGAGTAACCAATTTGAATTCTTAATCAGAAAAATTACAGAAGCGCCATTTTTAGAAATCAAAAAAAGAATGATTTAGACAGAAAATCTATACAAGATAATGAAAGATTCCCATGACATGATTTATAAATATTTTTATGAAACATATAGAAAATATTAAATTAAAAAGTATAATAATCTTTTACTAAAAACCTATATATCCTGGTAGCAGATAAATAGTTAAATGCCAATTTATTAAAATAATATATTATTTTTAAGGTAAATTTTAAATAATTGTAAGGGTTATAAATGAAAATTTTTGTTCTGGACCAATCAGGATATGGCATTTACCGAGTAAGCCTGGTTAGATTATTGGGTATTTTAGTAAAACTAGCTTTGTAAACTTTATTAAATTATTTTGGATATTATAAAAGTAAAAATAAAAATCAATTATATTTTTACATTCTGCAAACTTGGTTGACAATTATATGTTTGTTGCCTTTGGTAATTTTTATCTAACAACATACATTAACATTACATTAAAACTTTATTTTAAGTTTCTAAATGTCACAGATCAAAATTGCTTACAGCTATTTTCATAATTACATAATGTCGGCATAATTGATTCAAATTGATATAATTTAAGATCTAGTGACTAATACATATAAATATTATGATACAGTACGTAAGTACAGTAGGCGGCAAAAGTGACGCCCGATCTGCAGATCGATGCACGTAGGTAAATAAAAGGGCATGATTTGCCCCAAAATTATGTATTTTGGGGCAATTTGTTTTTGTTTTTTTGCTTCTTTGATGTCGAAATAACGAAGCTGAAAAAAAAAAAAAAATTTTTTTATGATATGCCATGCACCCAGATGACAGACATAGAAAAGGGCAAAATACTTGCTTTTATTGAAGATATGAGTGCTGAGCAAGTTGCCCTCAAGATTGGCTGTGACCCAATGACGGTTTGAAGGTTTCTGAAGAAGCACAAAAAGACAAAAAAAATCGAGAACTTACCTCGCTTTGGACGTCCCCCCGTTCTCAAGAAGGAAGAAAAGACTGCGATACTGAAAAAAGCATTGAAAGAGAGACGCAAGCCCCTGTGTAGCATTATCAAGGATTTAAACCTACAATGCAGCCAGAGGACCATAGCTAGAGCCTTGCACAGCTTTGGGGTTCATTCCCGCGTTGCTGTAATGAAACCTTTTTTGTCAGAAGACAACATAGCCAGGCGCAAAGATTGGTGTGAAAAAAATTTAAACAAGAACCTGTACGAGTGGTGGCGTATCATTTTTTCAGATGAAATGAGTGTAGAAGTGGGTAAACAATCCCGTCAGGTTCAAGTATGGCGTTATGCGGACGAACGATATAAACATGAGTGTTTGGTACTGAATTTTAGGAGTGGTAGGGTGTTGGTAATGGTGTAGTCATGCTTTGTAGGTGAAATCAAAGGTCCCATGGTTTTTTTTTAATGATTATAAAACTCTCAAACAAAAAATTAACAAAAAAATTTACACCAAGGTCCTTGAGGACAATCTAGTGCCATTTATTGCTGCCACACATTCGTTAACCGGGTCAAATCTAATATTTCAACATGACAATGCCCCATGTTCTGGGAATTATGAAATAGCAATTTTCTGAATGATTATTCAGGCAATCATTCTGGTGATTACCTAATCCAACCTGGTACGTTGTTATAACCAGGGGAGAGACTTTGTACCAACGTAGCCAATTCAGTTCAGGGTTATACGCATTAAAGGGAAGGAACCAAGTATTTATTATATTTATATAAAACACTGAAAGTATCCAAAAACCTACAACTGACAGATGAGCCTTCTCTATTTATTCCCAAATCCAAAAGGTACTCCCAGAGTACTATCCACAAATCCAACTAAGAATCCAACTAAAAGAAGAACTAACTAAGCGACCTACTAACTATCCTTCTCCCTTTCCTTTTCCCTTTTATACCCAATTTCCCTTCACGACCATTGTTAGAGCGATTACTAATACTAATGGCTATTTAATGATTACATACTTCATGCACTGGCACTAATTACTACATTGTCACATTTCCCTGCATAACATATCATTTACTGACTGCATAGTTCATGCGCTTGTACCAATTACTACATTATTACATTTCTTCGCGTAACAACGTACGTACGTACGCACGTACACATTTTCTGGGTGCTAATTACAGCTGTTCTCATAAATTCTGGAAATTTTGCAAAAGTTGACCGACCGAATATTTGTCGATTCGATAAGCTTTGATTTAGCAGTGATAAACTTTTGATTCGAATGTAATTACATCCGAACCAAAAGTTTATCGCTGCTAAATCAAAGCTTATCGGATCGGCAAATATTCGGTCGGTCAACTTTTGCCAAATTTTCCTAAATTCTGAAACAAAGATCATAAGTACCCCGACCGTACATATTAACATATATGATTTGGGCATACAAAATTTGTACATGGATGATTTTTGTCCAATGTCCGGATGTCCATAAAAAAATATATTGAGATTGTCCATGTACAGCACAGCCCTAGGCATGGCGAAGAATATTGGGTCATGTGACGATCTGCAGGGTAAAATATCCAATAACGGAATCCCGATTTGATGTAACGCAACACGATCAGGAAAATTCAAAACAAACGTCCGTTTTTTCTGGTTTTTTTTGCCGTTCTGGGGCAAAAATACTATTCCTGATGGATCGGCAGTATCGATCTTGATGGAGTAACAAAAAATTTATTTGAGTACTGTTCCTGATAGGATTATAAAAACGAATACTTTTTCGTATGCAAATCGATTTTTTTCTAAACGGTACCTACGATCCATCAGAACGGTATTTTTGCCCTTCTGGGCGTTACCGAAAAATTTTTCTTGAGATTTCCATACATTCGGCTAAAATCTAATTCTAATATAAACATTAATAATCTAATTATGAATAAACTTTTCGATGTCACGTTACTAGGACATTCTTCATTCTCCGTCATGGTTAGGGTACTAGTCAGCCAATAAGACAAACTTCTGCCTATGATTTTTAGATCTATGTTGATATAAATCAGCAAATTACATGAATACTATCTATGCTCATATAGCTATTTGTAATTCACAACAAAACGATGGATCATTATATTTAACTTGATCACTAATTCATTTAAAAAGACTTAGATAAATAATTCATTGATAATATTCTTATACTCGTATTAAATAAACACGAATTAATCAGGTATTATGTGCTCAGAATATATGAAATAAATATACTCTAAGCATGGTTTTGCTCCATTTATAATAACTATCAACAAATTTGAAGAAAGTTTTATAAATAAATTCAAAGTATATCTTTACCATGTTTTATAATAAAAATCTAACTATATTTATTGACTTTTACTAAAACGCATCTATGGTGTTTTACAACTACGAATACATTATCTCAAAAACTAGCTAAATAATCGGTACGAGGTGTTCTAAGTAAAAATCTTCTACACCCTCCAAAACCTTTCCCAAACCTTCTAGCCCTAATACTAACCATAACGTAAAATTTTGCGTTAAAAATTTTATGTATAAAACATAGAAAATCTATAAAACATAATAAAAACATAAGATAGGTGCCAAACCACCATAGTTGCGTTTTATATAATAAATGTATTGATTATACATTTAACACACAATTTGTAATTTATATATACTATCTACACGATATGCCCAAATCTGCTATGAAAACAAAAAGCCAACAACGATAACGATAATGATGTGATTAAACCTTGCAAGTTACTATCGATAATCCAAAAAGAATACGATCGATTAGCTCTTTCTCCTTATCATTTATTTCAATTCTTTTTAACATTAAATGCTTCTCTTTTTTTGGTCCATTCTTTACACTTGATACACCTATCAGACCAATTAAATACAAATTCGGGATGAGAATAATGGTTGCTGCATACAAAGGAATGCATTTCCAAGTAAATTTGGGTTTGAAAATATTTTTACTTAAATCGACTTTGCTATTAAAATAATTATCCACGATTATTTGATCCTTCAAGCGTAATACTTCAGTCCTTACATCACCAAAAACTTTATTTGCAACAGTTAGATTGTTTGGAATTTCCTTTTCTTTGGTCTCATTCAACTTTATCTCATCGTTAATTTCATTCATCTTGCGCATGATTGCTACTAATACTTCTTCTATCATCACTGGCATACTTATCACTGGCATACTCTTCTTGCCATCACTTTCATCATTAAAAATAGTACGAAGAGTCAATGCCTCAGCAATAATTTTTAAATCTCTAGTTATGTTAATATTGTTATCTGGTTTTAATAAAAGATTTATGCCTTTAAAAAAAAGACTCAACGTGTTCTCATCCATATCTTCACCAAAATTTATACAACAAAGTGTCAATGTTTTAATCGAATTAAAGGTAGGGTTTTTATCTTCCTTTTCTAAGTACTCCGCGATTTTATTTACTTCATACTTCTTATCTCCTATCTCAATTCGTATTTCTTCTATTCCTTTTATTTTTGTATCTATGTTTTTAAGACTTTGATCTGAATTATTATCTAACTCCTTCAATCCAGTTAAAATATCATAATCATCACCATTTTCTAGCTTTAAATATTTCTTTACAAAACTATCATCTGAAGCTTCACCATTTCCATATTCCAGATAATCATTTATACTTAATAAAAAATAGTATATAAAGAAATTCAAAGCGTCTTTATTTGAAATAAAATGTACTATTAATTTCGTAATATTCAAAATTTTAAAATCTTCTTTTTGTATTTGGTTTTGTGGATCTGTACGTGGGCCTCTCCGTTTTTCTAAATTATCCACGGATATCACTTCAATTTGTTTGTCCTTTCCACTAATAAGTTTTTCTTTATTATCGCTTGTTACCTTATCTTTATTATCATTTATTATATTAGCAAAATAATCTTTATATATAGACCTTAACGATCCTTTTTCATAATCTCCTATCTTATTTAAAATCTCTGATTTATATTTAGTCAAATAAGCATTCAAACCTGTCAACAAATATTTTATGCACTTTGCAGAATTACCTGCATCAGTTTTGTCTGAATGTGTACAAAATAAGTAAAAAGCTGTTAATTTTATAATTGTCATAATTTCATCCTTTTTTTCCTCTTTGTTTTCTTCCTCTTTTATTATTTCGTTTTCTTCCTTTTTTATATTGTCTAATAATTCAGTCACTAAGTCGTACGTATTTACACTATCCTCATCATCATAAATATTTGGATTGTTCTTTCTCCATTTTTCTACTTCAGGAATATATAATTTAGTGCAAATGACTACAATAATGACCTCAAATAGACTAAAACATGAAAAAGCGATGAGAATAATGGTCATATGGTGAAACATAGAACCTCCAGAATTCCCAGAATTGTTAAAAATGAAAAAAATATTAATAACGGTCAAAATAATAAAAGAACATGCCATTAAAGATACAAATATAGTACGACGAAGCATCATATGATTTATATGTTTATTAAGTTTTTTAACAAATCTTAAAGGTGAAAAATTTGTTGAACTAAGTTTTCTGGGGTAATTTTGTTTTGAGTTGTCGATGACACAATCATCTAATGCCTTTTCAATATCTTCATCCATTTCTTTATTCTCGTCTTTATTACCAGAAATAAAAAGATTCTTTAGTGACAGTAGGCTCGTAATAAGAGTTGTAAGACTCCCTATACCAACGAAAGACGTTGTAATGATCTTTGAAACTGTTGACTTTATATCATCTTCATTTGTAGTAAGAAGATAGCATCCTATTCCAAAAGAAAATACGCATACAGCAGCAGTAATTACTAATCGTCTAAAAGATAAATTCCGAAGCTTCTTCCATCTTTGGACACTTTTGTATAATTTAATGAGATTGTATTTTCTTTCATTCCAAGACATGCGTCGAGTTTTAGAAAGGTCTTCAGCCTGAGCCTGTGGCTGAATTTTATCATCAGTTGGTGCGGACATAACTGTCAGATTTTTTTCGTTTATCTTTTGGATAAATTAATGAAATAATTCAGAAATGCATATTGAAATGTCTTATATATACTATATATCTGATATAAAAATTCTATTTTTTTACGTGTTTTGTATCTGCCTTGAAAGCTATTGTAAGATTTTTATGTCGTGTAACCACCGATAGATAAAATCAAAACGGATAATGATACGTAAAACAAGAAAGCTATTGTAATGTCCAAAATTTGTAGGATCTTCATGCTTTGTAAAACATCAAAACAAATAAAACCAAAAAAAATTTTTTTTTTAGTTATGTTCTTTGTACCAAGAAATTTACCTTAACTGATTGGATAACTTAAAAGCGCGTATAAACATACCATATATGGGTTACATCTTATTTTCCCGATGGTCTTCGACTTCATTAACAATATATTCCTACAAGTAAAATGTTCAATTGTTACTCTATATTGTCGCGGGTTAATAAGTGACTTTCGCCACTAAAAACCTAGACCAAACGGTGAGCACTTCTCCAGCCGACGACCACCTCGACGCCTTGTACACTACTTGTGTAAGTATTTTATTTATTATAAGTGAAACGTTTTTGATCGCAGTAAAAAGCACTTGTTAATTCTTTATTTTCGCCCTTGTTCTTAAATACAAATTTTAACTACATCATATGTTGATCACGCCATTTTGACTTTTTAATTAGTTATTACTAATCACGCCATTTTCTATGAACTCTGTTACGACATTATTAATTTGCGCATTACTTAATTAATTTATGCATCACATATTTATCTTTTACTGCATTGTTCCCTTGAATGTTCGATTACTGATCCCGACTCTGGTCGATCGTCACATGGACACGTAACGATCGATCGATGTGCCCTTTCGATCGAAGATAAGTAACGACCTATACTAAAATTATTATTATTATTATTATTATTATTTTAACACTAATCTAATTTATTGTCCCTTTGTTTAGACCTCCAAATCGACCCCACGCACTAAGTACGTTGGATACTGGTTGTCACCGTGACAATATGATGTCGATGAAATTCCGTATATATGCTTTATTTTGAGACAAAGGTTGATATAGGAGACATTTATGCGATTTGCCAATTTACATTGATGCAACCTATAATAATAGCGATCATTTATTCCAATACTGCTAAAGCATGAATAAGTATTGATTTAAATTTTTTCGAATAAAGTGAAATTTTTAGATTTTTTGCACCATACGTACGTATGTACGGTGCAAGAAATCTAAAAACCATAATTATACTTTATAGTGAAGAAGATAGCTTTGGGATCACCACGTTCTACAATTAAAACACTTAAAATACAAGACTACTTGAAAGAAGGTGTTGAAATTTTTTATTAATTTATTATGATCTTTTTAATCTCATTGGGTTCTACCAAAGAATTACATGTTTTACGTATTACATTGTTCTAACATTACTAAGTTTTACGATACCCGATTTAGCCTATGTATCTCATCCACATTGGTCACCTAAGGGAAGAAGCATGCATGTATCTGATGGGGGTACGTACGTACGTACGTACGTACTTAATAGGAGCTATTTTATGCATACAGCTGAAACTTAAAATAAGCCGCTACTGAATTTAGCTTATCTTCAATGTGCTGACCGTTTTTGTTTTATATAAAGTGATTGAGATTTTTAGATTTCTTGCACCGTACGTACGTACGTGATTGACGGATTTTTTATGTATTATGAAGATCCTGACATACCCGGCAAGATTCTCTAACCGAACTTCAAAAAAATTCAGCATTAAAACTATCACAAAAGCTTAAAACTTTATATATAACATGGCAAGAAAACTTTTTTTGCACAATTACGACTTTAAATTTTCGGTTACAAAGCCAATTCGTAACAAATATCATGACTTTTTTTG